CCAGGAGACCTGAAGGTGTTTCTTCAGTCAGAGAGGAGGGAGGGACGCAGGATTCCCCTCTACACATCCACCCCAGAAGATCTGGAGCTCCCATGGGGGTGAGCCGCCAGGCCCCTGGGGGGGCAGCTGGCAGGCTGGCCATAGGACCTCTACTGATGGATGGTTCGGATGTGGAGCTGATGGAGAGACCCCTGCTCCAGAACTGTGAGTTGGAGTGCGCTCGCGCTTGGTTAGGGGCAGAGGGGGTCTCTGGGCTAGAACAAGGGAATACAGGGGAAGTCATAAAATTGCTGTGCTTAGTATTAGATCGCTTAGGGCAGGTTGGCTTAGCTGCGCAGGACGCTACGCTTCCCACGGGGACCCCTCCGTTGGGTACTATGGAGGGTACTGCAGGGGGGCCGGTGTGTGACATAGCCCCCCTGGGGATGCATGTGTCACTGGAGGTGAGGGAGAAGATCCTGAAGGGTGAGTATGTGGACCTCCTATCGTTAGTCCTGTTTGATAGGGAATCCGCTGATAAACCGCGACTCGGTGAGGCGACGGAGAGTGGAAAAGGTAAGGAGCTCCCCCGTACCTTCGGTAATTGGTTGCAAGGATTTGCGACTTATGCTAGTATTCTGTCTACGAGGTTTCCAGAGCGGGCCCCGTCATTGTTTTCTTATTTAGATTTAATTTGGGGGGCTTATAAAGTTTTTGGGGGTCAATGCTGGTTTAAATATGACCAGCAATTTCGGCAAAAAATGGCGATGCAACTGCACATGCAAGATGGTAATCTTTGGTTGCTTCTCATGACCCCGTGCCGTCAGCCACATCGTCCATTCCTTCTGCCACCGGCGCTCCTGGTGGAGCGTCGGCCGAGATCAAGAAAGGCATCTGATGGCTCTTCAATGAGAGTCATTGCAGGTGGTACAACAGTTGTCAATTTAAACATGAGTGTTCCCACTGTGGTGGGGCTCACCCGGCGGTTCGGTGTTTTAGAAGAGGAAAACCCCTCCCCAGGACGGCATCAAAGGATGACGTTCCTCGGGGGAGGACCCCGGTATGGGCGGAAAGACTGCTTCCGTGGCTCGCGCGGTATCCCAGGCGTAGGGACGCGCGGGTGCTATGGGAAGGTTTCACCAACAGTTTTAGGATCCCATTTACTCCGTCGGGGGAGGCGTCATTTGCGCACAATTTGTCCTCAATTCGGGGTAAGGAAGGGATGCTGGCGGCTAAGCTAAAAAAAGAAGTGGACTTGGGACGGATGGCGGGACCATTTTCCGTTCCTCCAATTGATAATTTGCGGGTGTCCCCATTGGGCCTCGTTCCTAAGAACATCACCTGTCTTTTCCAGTGGGGGCTTCGGTTAACAACGGAATTGCGAAGGAGGATAGTCGGGTCCGACACACTTCTTTTGATCGGCTCTGGATCTCGTTCGGGAAGCAGGGCCCAGGGCCCTGATGGCTAAGTCGGATATTCAATCGGCTTTTCGGTTGCTCCCAGTTCACCCTTCCTGTTTTCATTTGTTTTCATTTGTTGGGGTGTCAGTTTCAAAGGGATTTTTTCTACGATATGTGCCTTCCCATGGGTTGCTCGATTTCTTGTTATTATTTTGAAGTTTTTAGCACATTGCTGGAATGGATCGTAACGGAGGTGTCAGGTTTTTCTTCCCTGTTGCCCTCTTGACGATTTTCTGTTCGTCGGTCTGGCACATTCTTCGCGATGTGAGGATTTGTCGGAACAGTTTAAGGCAGTTATGGGAGATTTGGGGGTTCCAGTGGCAGGGGACAAGACGGAGGGCCCGAGGGCGGGGATTTCCTTCCTGGGTATAGAGATTGACTCCATCAGCTTGGTTTTTCATTTGCCCAGTGATAAATTGGGGATCCTTACAACCATGGTTGATCGGGTGAGGGGTGCGCGGAAGGTGCAGCTTCATCAGATGCAATCCCTGTTGGGCCACTTGAACTTTGCATGTCGGATCATGCCTATGGGTCGGGTGTTTTGTAGACGGCTGTCTCTGGCTACCGTCGGCATTATTCTTCCCCATCATTTTATCCGGGTTACCAAGCGGTTTAAGGATGATTTGAATGTCTGGAGTGAGTTCCTCGCAGGGTACAATGGTCGGACATTTTGGTGATGGGAAGCAATATCTAATGTGGCCCTGGAGTTGTTTACGGATGCCTCCGGCTCGTTGGGCTTCGGGGCATTTTTCGGGGACGTTGGTGTGCGGAGCCTTGGCCTGCGGCATGGCACGAGGCGGACCTGATACGTAACTTGATTTTTCTCGAGCTTTTCCCTATTGTGGTAGCAGTGGAATTGTGGGGGGAGGAGCTCGCAAGCAGGCAGGTGGTTTTCCGCACGGACAACATGAGTGTGGTCCGTGTGGTGAATCATTTATCATCTGGTTTGGTTCCAGTATTGGCTCTGTTGCGTCGGTTGGTTCTGCATTGTT